ATGGGAAAAATATCCTCAGGTGAGGATTAAGAAGAAGAACAGCAAAAGAATATGACCTTACTATGAAAACCATCTTATGCTAAACTATCCTATATCCATAACTTTATTGTATAAGGGTTTTAGCATTTTTGTTTGGACTAGAAACCAGAAACGCAAATATCTTACTTTTTAAAAAATAATGGATTATAAATACTAAAATTAGTTCACATTATAATACCTTTCGGGAATGTGTTTTGGAACTTCTATCTCAAGCGACTTCATATGTAAGAGTTTGATTCCTGCTTCCATCTTGTTCGCTGCCACTACATCACAGGCAAGTTCATACATCGTCTGGGATAACTCACAGGCATACACTGAGTGCGCTCCAGCTCTTTTAGCAAACATACTATAAGGGGAAAAGTGCTCCATCAAAAAAAATAATAATTCACTGTCTTTTTTCAAGTATTAGTGGAATTGTGATACTTAAACATGGGCTTTCTTTTTATTCTTTAACACAACCATTATTCATTCCACATTAAAAAATGAATTAATATTCTTGTCAAGAAATAAATCATACAATAAATAATGATGTCCAGCAGATTAAGAAAACACAACAGGCATGAAGAATACTAATAGACTTAAATAACTAGATTCAACCAGAGTATTAATATAAAAATACTACTGAAATTCATTATTCAAAATTCCAATACTAACCCCAAATTTTTCTGAGTAGTTAAGTCCAGTTCTTGATAAAGCAAAAGTTACAGTGAAAAATATAATAGTTGTATGAATAGTCATAATAAGATTATGAGAAATAAATTAAACTCTATTTTTAAATTCCACAGGTAAATATTCCATATTTGGTAAATCTTTAATTTACATTAGTATACATGCATATGTAATTAAAACACAAGTACAACAAACCTTAGTATTCCAGTTCCTGCTCCAATATCCAAAACGCTTTTGGATCCCAAACAAACTGCCTTTTGGATTGCTGCATTATAAATCGTATTCCTTTTGATGTCATTAAGCATGATAAAGTGCCAACGTTCCACCAACCAATTTGCAACACGATAAAAGTTCTCCTTCGCATCAATGAAATCAGGGTTTAGCTTCACTGCTTTATGAAAATATCCAGCTGCTTCATCTCTAAAGCCCATTCTAGAGTAAAATATGACAGACAAAAAAATTTAACTCTAGACTTTCAATTACAGTGCCTTCATCCATGTCACACATCTGGCCTGAGAATCCCTCACCAGCACATCAAATCCTACTCAACCCAAGTGTCATCTCCTCTGGGAAGTCTTCAGTGAGAATTGCAATCCTTCATCACTTCTTTCTTTTCTGAACCCCTATTATAGTTATGCATTCCAGGACCTTAACAAGTGCTTAACTATAAATTACTATTGTACCATGTATAGTAGAAGCGCTCAAAGTCATCCTTCATTTAACCAACCTAACAGAACACCAGTGCTTTCTAAAAGCCATTCTCTCTGTAAAAAGGTACTAATATCTATGGCTAGTAGGCTCCTCTCTGGGCTGCCTACATACCATTTCTCACAGCAACTGAGTTGAATGGTCATCAAGAGTCAGTTGAATTTGCTGCCAGACCAGTTTATACCGGTTGTACTTGTTACCATCATTACATATTTTACTTAAAGATTACAGAAATGAAATAAATATGACTGCAATAAAAAGAGCCACTGTTTCTAAGAACACTAA